AATTACGGAGTCTGTGAAAACAGGTTAAAGTGTCCTCAAAGAAGAGCAAGGGCGTCGCCGACGAGGCCTCCGGGGAAGCGGAAAAGCTTCCCTATGTTCATGTCCGAGCTCGTCGAGGTCAAGCTACAGACAGCCATAGCTTAGCAGAAAGGGTAATCTGACTAATATCTTCGTTAACCACTCATCAATAATTAAATTAAAATTATTTTTTTGGTCAAAATTTATTTTCGCTGAAGTAAATTTCTTTTATAATATAATTTTATTATCAAATTATATAGGCTAGGAGAGAGAAGATAAATGCTCGGATGAAGCTTTTACAAGAGCTGGTCCCCGGCTGCAACAAGGTCGGTCCCTTCAGTATTTCTAATCCTCGGTTCCCAGGATTAATTAATTATGCTTTATTAATTTTTCGGAAAGGCCTATTATTATCTGATTAATTCGTCTCCCAAGAGCGCAATTATGTATTAAACAACGGTTCTTGTCATTGTCACCTTTTCACCCAAAAAATGCTTGCTTTTACATCAAGAAAAGTGCCCACTTCTCAGTGGGTCTCAACGTGGCATTTATGTAATTTCGCTGGCATTTTGGGAGATTGGTTACAAGTCTTTTCTAAGGCTAAAGTAGTCATCTCAATTTTTGAGGTCCCCTAATCTGGCACCCCGGTCATTCTATTCTGAGGTCACACCGGTGATGTTCCTGTAGGAGGTAGTAGAGTGTCTCCATTGATGGGTTTATCCGACTTTTGGGGTTTCAAGTTTGGACATGAATACTTGGTCAAAAAAAACAAAAAAAAAGTTTGGACATGAATCTGAAAGAAGCTGTTCATAACCGGTAGAAAAATTTACATAAGGAAGATTGCATATTTGTCATTTTTTTTTTATGAACATGTATTATGATTGACATCAAGAATATCGCGTATGTTAGTCAATTTTTTAAATGAACTTGTAATTATGCTTCAAATATGACAGAATATGTCATGTGCTATGCTGGAAGCTTAAGCCAATCACTTTCTTGCCTTTCTTCGGCCTCTTGGCATTTTGAAGAGACAGGAGGGTGGGCTTGTGGGGTGGTGGAGGGGTTTTTCCCTGGAGTTATTCTGGCTTTAACGTCTGGGAGACACATATTGCTGTCATGTTGAAACTTGAAACTCGTATCCGTGGGTCCCTTGTATAATTGAAGTTTTAATCCCTTCTTGTGAAGGTGATGATGCCATTATCTCCGAGTTCGGTATACATCATTGTGGGATGACGAAAAAGAAGATGAGAAAACAGTTCATACTTTTGGCGCATCTACCTAACGGCAGCCCTAAGTGGCTTGGGATATTGTACATGTTAAATGAATGTCATCTAAACGCAAGTTAAATACAAACCTTAGGATTCATCACTCCTTTTTTTTTTTGGGGGGGGGGGGGGGGTTTATTTTGAGTAGTTTGAGGTGTACTGATAATATTAGGGAGTGTGGGCTTGACTTGGTGTTTGGCTACTAGATAATTTATCATCGTGCAGCATCTGATTTATGTTGTTTCATACATGCTTTTGAAGAATTGCTCCTGGGGTTTATCTACGGGGGATAATAATTCAAGTGTTCAACTTCAAGACACCAAACTGACTTGGATTAAATGTCGGGCTTAGATATACTCCAGAGTCATGATCTATGAGCCTACTAAATTGTCTCCTGAATTTAAGCCATAACTTGCACATTGTTTACTTTGGGTTATGAAGTTTTAATTACATAGACAAAGATCCTGCGGGGCATCATTTCAATTGTGTTAATGTTTTTCCGTGGTAGTTATTGATGCAAGCAACTAGATATCTGACTTGAAAAAGATTTGCTCTACAGATATCGGGAACTGCATTGGTTCTGGATGAAATCATCAACCATGTGCAATCTCTACAGCGACAAGTGGAGGTCAGACCCCTAAGACATTTTCCAAAATTGTTTAAGAAACCATTGGAAGGCTAGGTTGTCATTAGCTGGTACTGAATATAACTATGGATAAAGTTTACGCCATGGCCGTTTTTCTGAACCCTCAAAATCGACAGTCTGTATGGCTTCTATGAGATTATGGAATATTTTGGCGGTCCTAATCCACTCAATGAAAACAAAAAAATATTACTTAACCGTAAGCCCTAAATCTTTAAGCAGTCCCAATCTTATTCATTTTGGACTTCATGATTTACCATTTCCCTTTAATTATTTTTTTCCCCAAGAAAAGGAAGGTGAGTTTCGTTCAATAGCAAGTCCTGCATTGTGGACTTGTGGCTTGAAATAGCAGACTCCTAGAATTGCGCATTGCTTAGTTTAGTGTAGATATATGACGATATAAAGTGACAGACAATTTGCAGAAAATGTTTTCTTGAAACATCGTTGTGTCTAACTGAGTTGGCATGGCAACTGAACTGATACCGAAAGTGTTACTAATGGCAGAAGATTAGAAGGAATAAGGATTTTGGTATTGATGACGCAATGTAGTGAAGTTTAAGTTATCTAATATCGACATGATCTTCTGCTGATTGAGTCACTCTGATTTCAGTTCTTATCAATGAAATTGGCCACGGTTAATCCAAGAATTGACTTCAACCTTGACAGCATATTGGCTACAGAAGTAAGTAATAATTGATCTCACTTCCTCAATGATCTTTTCTATTTCCGAAAATATGTTTATTTGTTTTTGGCTTTGGGGAGTCTTGTGGTGCAATGGACAAGTTAATTTTTTTCGCTTTATGAAGTTGCTGGAATGGAATATAGAAGATCTTGCATTCTTAGCTGATTTGCTTCCCCCTTCTCTAGAAAGAGAAATCAAATGTGATGCTAACCAGTAAAAAAGCAACTTTTATGTGATGATAATCCCATCTAATTGTATTTATGTTTGATATGGTTCTTTGTTCAAAATTTTCAAATGGTGAACTTGAACTTGGGGCTGGCGGCAGTGTAAATGAAAGAAAATGGTTCGTAGTCAAAACTCAAACATTGTGATTCTATTCATTCTGCAAGATGTTGCGCCGGACCTACTGAGAAATGTGAATTGATTTATGAAAATGAATGTCAGCCGAGCCGATTAAAGCTTTCTCTTCAGTTGACACACACTCTCACACACAGGTCTTGCTCTATATTTCATGAATCTGACCTGATTATGAGCACTCTAACTTTGTGATTAACGTCATTGTGCCTTTATATCCTTAAATAGGATTAGTGGATCCTGGAATTTAATTAATTTATAGTAGCTGACAGTTCTCCTTCGTTAACTCATAGGGTGCATCTCTCATGGATTGTAATTTCCCCAGCACGGTTGCACCTTTGATGTGGCCGGAAATCCCAGTCAATGGAAACAGACAGCAATATCAACAACAGTGGCATGTTGATGCATTCCACCAACCACTTTGGGGCAGAGAAGGAGGAAACCATAACTTTATCACTCCAGATAACTCTTTTTTGAGTTATGACTCGTCAGCAAATTCAGGTACATCTTAGGCTCTTGGCTACAGCTTTAACTGCATATGCGTCCATCTTAAAAGCCCAAATCGCAAAAGCTTTTCTAGTTCTAACTTCATCCGTATTGTTTCCTATAGCCATTGGCATTGGGCTTCCACAAGTCTCCAGATATTGGAACTATTTGCCGCCTTCTATCTTCTTCTTTTAAACCGATTAAATGAAACAATTGAACACCAAAGGTCTAAAGATCGTTTGAAAGTTGTAATTAAATTTGAATAAATGAAATTTGGCGTTTCTGTCACTTAGATTATTGTAGGAAGTTATAAATTGCGGGAAAGGACTTCAGGTGTTATCATGAAAAAATACAAGCGGCTAGACAGTTTATTTTTAACTAAACTATGCCGGAAACATTGAAAAGGACAACTTTTAAGACTGAAAATTTATGTTGTGATACAGCAACTCTGCACTCAAATCAGTTGAAGATGGAACTGTGAAGGCGCATAGAAGTTGTATCAGCAGCTGGTAGAAGAGTAGTGTATATACAAAATATAGAATTAGCAGTTAGCTGTGATTTGAGAAGCATCCACATTCAGCAGGGTTTCCGTGCCTTCTATTTGTGGGTCGGAAACCGGGATTTTCCTAAACCAGGAAGAAGAATTGGTATGCCATTCTTATTAGAAAAAATATTATTACTATGTATACTAACTATAGGGGTCACTCAATCCAATACTTCATTCATGAGGTTATTGGTTGATTCAGATTGTAAGACCATAGAGTGAACTGTTACTGAACTTTCATGGGAGATTGTTGCTTTGTTTATTGACTGCTATTTAGATTATTGGTTCTTTCTGTGGAGGTGCGTGAAACAAGCTACTTTAATTTCGAATAACGTGTTGAATATTGTACTTCCCTTTTTTTTTTTTTTTTTTCCTGTTTCTATCAAACTGAAGATCAAATTTCGCTATTTGTTGAGCAGGGCTTGCTGCACCGCATTTTATTGTCTTGCTCTCCTGTGCCTCCATTGCGATGGGATTGATCCTTTTTTTTTTTTTTTAAATTTGTGGGACTATTTCGTGGCGTTTGACTGTTTGACTGAAACAAGTATTCCAAATACATCCAATTTTGTGACAAACGTTTATGGTGACAAGTTCAAGCAGCCTATGCAGTTGAAATATTAAAAAACGATTTTTTGGGGTAGTATGTTGAGTTACGAAGACAAAACAGTATACTACTTTTTTTCCTTTTCACACGCTCTCTCATGTTTGAAAATCTAATCCCATATGTCATGAAATAAATTATAACAAAACACAATTATGTACAGTATAATTGGTTCAATAAACGGATCTAATCTTCATAAGTACATACTGATTGTGCACGTATCAAAGAATATCCGAGTGTGTGATCGTACGGGCAGTTCCCTTGGGATTGGTAAAATGATTGTACGTTAGGCTTCGATTAAAATCCGGCTCGCGGGGGAATGGGTAGATGTGCCTGCCAGGGATATTCTTCGTTGCGCGATGTTTATCCTAAAAAGCCTGCAAATTAGTTACTGAGTTCTTATGGTTCCAATGAGGCCAGAACGTGAGTTCCAGCCTTCCAGGGTTCAAACTTTATCATTCATATTTTGGAAACTACTGCAATCAAAAGCTTCGACGAGTCAAGCTCAACACCAGAAATACATGCGTGTCCAACCGAAGAAGACACATTCGTTGAATTAAACTTGAACCAGGCAAATCTATTGCTTGTATTACTTTCGAAATCTCAGCTTCACATCAATTTAATTGCCCAAGGGTTGACAAGAAATCCTCCTCTGCTTACTCTTTTCAATATTCCGTTCCTTCCTAATGTCCTTCGACGTTTACACTCTTTATCTGTCATCTCTGCACCTCCTCTCCTACTTCACACCCATCACCTGAAACTCCTATATCACTGTGTCCCTGCTCCACCGTCTCTTCCGTGTTCGCTATTTCATTCATGCGTGGATCTTTACTCTGTGAAGAAAGTCCACGCCGCTCTTATTGTCTCGGATGCATTGTTATCTAAATCCGTTGCTTCAAAGCTCATAACCTTGTATGCTCGATTCCATGATCTGGGAAGTGTCCTTGGGATTATAAGAACTCTAAGGAAAGAGCCTGATACGATGATGTGGAATTTGGTTATTAAGACCCTGGTTGAGTTGGGACTTCCCCGCGCGGCCTTTTTATTGTACAAACAGATGAGAATAGCGGGTGTTCTCCATGATGCATTTACTTTTCCTGCAATAAACCAGGCTTTATCTGCCATCCGAAGCGATGCTGTGTTTGCAAAAATGTTCCACTGTCAAGCAATTCAAATGGGTTTGGATATTGATTTATATTTTTACAATACCATGATCGACGTCTATGTGAAATGCGGGTGCGTCACCTCTGCACGTAACTTGTTTGATGTTATGTTTCACAGAGATTTGGTTTCCTGGACATCTCTAATTTCTGGATATATTTCCGAGAGACATGTTAGTGTCGCCTCTCATTTGTTCAACAAAATGAGGACGGAATTGGAGCCGAATTCGGTGACTCTACTTGTCATGTTGCGAGCATGTTGTGCCTCTAAGACTCTGAGGGATGGAAGCCAAGTTCATGGGTATGCCATAAAGAGTGGGTTGTTAAGGGATGCTTCATTGCAAAATGCTGTTTTGAGCATGTATGCTAACACTGGGAGTACAGAATGCGTGGAAACTGTTTTCAGTGAAATTCACAGAAAAGACATTGTTTCCTGGAACATTTTGATTTCCTTTCACGGAATAAAAGGAAATATCATGGAAGTATCTCGTATTTTTAAGGAAATGCATGGTGGAGCAGATTTTTCGTGGAACATTCAGACTTTAACCCTAGTTTTATCAGCAATCGCAAAGTCTTGTAGTCTTTCTGAGGGTCAAAGCGTCCATTGCTTAGTCATAAAAACAGGACTATCTGATGATATTTTGCTGACTTCTTTGCTCGATTTTTACGCAAAATGTGGGAAATTGGAAAGATCTGTTGACTTGTTCAGAGAAATTCAATACAAGAGTAACATTGCTTGGAGTGCTATGATGTCAGGTTTTATTCAAAACGGTCATTTTATGGAGACCATAACTCTATTCCAGCAATTGCAAGCAACAAACCCTGATCCTGATCCTGTAATTTGGAGAAATCTAATTGATGCATACGCTAATCTAGGTGCTCTGAAATTAGGCAAAGGAGTTCATGGTTTCCTTGTGAAGAACTTGTTTAATGGAATTGAGGAAGACATTGCACAACTGGAAAACTCCATTTTAAACATGTACGTAAAAGGCGGTAGCATTTCTTCAGCTCGAGCATATTTTGGTAGGTTATCGAGCAAAGATGTCGTAGCATGGACAACTATGATTGAGGGGTTTGGGTCCCATGGTTTTGGCTATGAAGCCCTCAACTATTTCGCATTAATGATTGAACAAAGAGTTCAGCCAAACTCTGTCACCTTCGTAAGCTTATTATCTGCTTGCAGCCACTCTGGTCTTGTGAGTGAAGGCTGCAAAATTTACTGCACCATGAAATGGGATTTTGGTATTGAACCAGCTTTGGATCACCAGACCTGCTTCGTGGATCTTTTAGGTCGACACGGGTTGCTCAAGGAAGCCTTATCCATAATACTGAAAATGATTGTTCTGCCTGATAGCAGGATTTGGGGTGCTCTTCTAGCGTCTTCCAGAGTTTATGGAAACCAGAAAGTTGGGGAATATGCAGCAGAAAGACTTCTGAAATTAGAACCTGACAACGCTGGTTATTATACTTTGTTGAGTAATGTCAAAGCAAGTGCTGGAAGATGGGATGAAGTTGAAGAACTTAGGACAGCCATGACTGAGAAAAATCTCAAGAAGAAACCAGGCTGGAGCTGTATTGAAGTAAACGGGGTCATGCAGGGATTCACTTCAGGGGATATATCACATCCTGAAGCAGAGTATATTTATGAAACATTGAATTGTTTGGCAATTGCAACTCCTTGTGTCTAAAATACTTTTGATATTTGTTATTTGATATATGTGTATCTCCTTGAGAGTACAGGTGTTATTATGGACACACTCGACCTGCGTACCGCATGCAAAGGTGTTGCTGGGGGTTGTATTCCGGGCCGGCCCAACAAGTCATTTGTTTTTGTTTTTTTGTTTTTGTTTTAACCAAACAAGTCATTGTACTTGATTTGTTACTCTTTGTACTCAGTTTTATTTAGATCTTTATTAAAAAAAAAAAGTGATTTTTCCTTCTTCCTTGTATGTTTTTCCTGGTTTTTTTGGGGGTGGGGGGAGACTTCGGACTCCCACCATGGGCTTGGCCCTTAGATCTCTGCGGATAACATGCTGTGGTTAATATTTAGCTAAATCAAAGGAGTATAATAATTAAGAATGACGATTGAATTTAAAATCAATGAGATTAAAAACACTTCTGAGCTCCTTGAATCCGCGGGGTTAAGCGTAACTGAGAATAATATACAACATGGAGGTGGATGAAGAATCAGACACAGGAACCTGAGAGGGTTGGGCATGATATATGCCCACTGTTTTCGAGTCAGCATCTGATTACACACAACACGAATGAAGCCCCCATGTTCTCTGACCAACAAAAACTCAAAAAAAAAAAAGAAAAGAAAGAAAGAAAGAAAGAAAGCGATGCTAAACTTTTTGTTTCTTTTTTTTTTTTTGGCCCTTTTTTAGAGAGAGAAATCACTAATACTCAGTCAAATTAAGAAAGATGGTAGATGGATCTAAATTTTAATAAAGAAGCAGCAATTACACATGCGTTGAGGCAGATCCGAAATGTTGGGACATTCAGTGTAAGAGGAAGAAGAAGCCTCATAGTTTGTGGATTTAGTTTCAGTACTTATCACTTTGATAAGTGTTCTAAACCCATCAGATCTAAGTTGTTTATATCTGATTTGAACAGTCTAGATTTAAAATCTTTAATTAATTACTTTTAAATAAAAAATTATCTTTTAAAAAAATAATATTTAATATATTATTTTTATTTTAGATTTTATACATATTAAAATAATTATTTTAAATAAATAAAAATCATCCAAATAAATATCAATCATCCAAATAAAATATACACAGCTAAATCTAATGAGTTTTATATGCTCACCAAAACGAAACTCCATCCCATAGTTTGAATATATATGAAAATGCAGAAGTGGTAGGATAGATACAGCAGGGAACACAGCACTCTGACACAAACCAATCAACGAGGCAATTAACTAGTGCAGTCAAATCTTTGGCTCCCACACAAAATCAAAACAACGATCCCATGGCAGGCAGGCCAGCATAGCCAGAATGACATGTCTTGCTCTCCAATATATCTTCTGCGTCATGTTTCCTTGCTTATAGGTTTATATATAAATATATAACAGATTCAAAATCATGGGAAACAATAAACTCAGTCAACAAAATCCCGAATCGGGAAAAGAATTAGAATTACTGAAATAGTTTAACGTGTGAAAGGTTAATTGTTGGGTCAGGCAAAAAAAGAAAAAAGAAAGGTTAATTGTTGGGGGAAGAAGTAGAATATAAAAAGGCCAAGTGGTCAGCCCCAAAAACAATGATTAGGATAGATGCATGAACATGCGGCTGTATTACATGAAGGCATAACCCTGTTGGCCAAAAAAGGAAAAAAAAAAACATAAAGGCATAACCCACGTGCTCCGGTGCTCATGCCCCACCCTCCTCAGCTCCTTCATGTTATCCTTCATTTTTAAACTTTTTTTTTTTTTTGAAGTCAGCACCATACGAAAAGTTTTCCAAATAAGCGAAGCACAAACTCATCGGAATCGAATTCGGCGTTAGGTCTGTCTGCGTATTTGGCGTGTGAGATTTCTTAAATTGATTGTATTGAACAACAACAATAATAATAAAGGCAAGCTCAGACGCTGAAGCATGTTGACACACTCTTATCGTCTGCCTTGGGTCTCAGATCTTCACGAGGTTTTTTATATGCATTTTTCGGATTTGGACGAATCTATATAATATAGTATTTGGTGAACAAAATAAAAACAATAGATATAAACTGTGTCACATAAACCAAGTACAGAAAATGAAATTTGAGAATCGACAAGGCCATTTCACCCAAACAGATACTCTGTTGATTAGCACAGGAAACCCGACAGTGGCCTTTTTCGCGGCGGGATCATAAACATTAAATATAATAATAAATATATACAAAATATGGGAAAAAAAAGCTCTTGATGAGATGTGTAAGCCGGTGCCAGCAGTGCCACCGACGGTCGGCGTTACTCATCCCTTCATTTGGCGATATTCAAGGGTCCCACCGGAGATGCTTGTTTTCCAATGGTGGGATCCGCACTCTTCCATCACACCGACTGAATAATTCATTCCGTTCAAGTGATCGAGCCCCTTTTTGTCATTTCCCCGCCCTTTGTTTTATTCAACAACTTTGTTTTGGCATTCCCAAACAACATACATAGATTTTCTCCCATTATCTCCCCCTTTGAGATTTTTATTGATTTTAAAGATGTCAAATATCACCTCTGTTCTTAATATAAAAGTTTTAATATTCAATTTAATTTTAAATATAAAGTATTAATTTATTTTATTTTTTTAGCTGACCATCTTAAAAGTTTTTAGTAAGATTTTTTTAAAAAAATAACACTTATTGATTATAAATAACTAATTTAATCAATTCTTTTATCTACTTAAATTAATAAAAAAATTTTGACCAGACTTAAATTAATAAATTATTAATGCCATAAAAAATTAAAATAGGTTATTCTCATTCGCGGTCAGTGTGCTGGCTATTGATGCGGACATTGTATATGCTCATACGTTATTAGAGTGCCGTTTAGCTGTCCTCTGGGAAACAAATAAAATAATTCATGTAAGGCATGGAGGAATGTTGTATTTGTGAATATAGGAGTGGCGGCCCAAAGATCATTTCATCCCACGCCGTATGCATAAGACTACATGTTTACCGATACGGATTAAATCTAGCAGAAGAGGCTAGTCTTTTATAATGTGACCAATCAAGATTTGAATACCTGTTGGGATAGGTGCCTACGTTTAATGCCTAACGATGTCTCGAATAGAATTATATTTAATAAGAGGATACTTATACTTTAACAGAAAAAAAAAAAAAAAAAGACTACATGTTCGTGCTTCCTATTTCTCACCTGCCCACCAATGTTTTCAGGCATTAAATCACAGTTTCAAGCCAGTGACCCAAATATATTTAACCAAACATCATTCAATTATTGAGTGCGTGCGTGTGTTTTTAAATTATTACCAACTTCACTTGCTGATTTTGTGATCCCCCAGCTTGAATAGCATTGATAGTCTAAAACGTAATTTCTCACTAGCTATTTTTTAATCAAATTCTCCTCCGGTCTTAATTATAAGACCCAATTGACTTATTTGAGGAGATTAAAGAAGTAAGTTAAGTTGGTTATTTATAATAAATAAGTGTTGTTATTCCTAAAATATCCTTGCTAATTAAGTATATTGGCTAAAACTATCATTATTAGAAGGATTATCTTGGAAAAAAATGCATAAATATAAGAGAGAAAATGGATTGGGTCTTATAATTAGGACCAAATAAAAAGTCAAATTGAATCTTATAATAAGGACCGGAGGAGTATTAGACTAGCCGATTGTTTGACAACCTTTTAGAAACACTAAAAGAAATCGAAGCATATTATTGCTTTTAAAAAGCTAATTTAAACAACCCCTGAAACGCACAGTCACAGTGGACACACGATAACCGAGAACAGGGAAAAAGGATAAATTCGCTTCTAAATCTAGGCGCTCTTTTTTTTTTTGGCCTCCCTATGTTCTGAAACGGACCCTTTTGTCATTCAAGCAGTCAAGAAGGACCTGTTTGGGAGCTAAAAGCAACAATAACTGAAAATGCAAGAGAGGACACCAAAATAGGAAACCTAACCACAAAATGAGAATGGTGTGTGGGAGTAAAGAACAGAGGCCAAGTGGAACATGACGCCTCACGTGACAAAGACGACGCAACCACAAGGCTTGGATCTTCATTCACCCCCAGCTCCTAATTAGGGCTTAACCAACACTCTTTTCTTTTTTAATCACTATATGCCATTTTCGTTGCAGGTTTGGGCCTTTCCTTTAAAGCATCCACCAAATCTAGCGCTGAAATTAGGTGTTTTGAGTGATAAAACGCGATCATTCCATTTCCAAACATTAATGTTTTTAAACTGATGCTCTTTCCATTGGATAAGTGCTTGTTTTCCAATCGCGTTCTAGCTTCTCGTGAAAGGACAAGAGTGTTTTAAAATACTCAAAATTATTTAAGTAACATTTATTTATTTATTTTTAAAGTTCGTGGCTTCATTTGCTAATGATGTCTACAGTATCCAAGGAAGCTTAAGGGTTTAACTCTTGAGCCTTGAACTAATAACAGGACAAATTAACAGGTCTATTTGGTCATTCTAATGAATCTTGAAAAAGCAAGTGACAAACCAAATCAAATTTACTTTTGTGTGCGAGTGTGTTTGTGTGTTAATTTACCTCGTGCCCTCTTAGTTTATCCCATGTTAAAAAAAAAAAATCAAATTCACAGTAGGATGTGTACTAAACTAAACTACTTATAAAATGTAGTACTACATTTTATAAATATACGTTGTGGATGTCATTATTGATTTAACGCACGGGTGAAAGCGGATCAAATTCGAAGGTCAACAGTTTTCCGCAGGATGGCCTATGGGGCGCTGTGTCTGTGGAACATGAGGTGAGCCGAGACAAGATGCGGTCAACGACAAGACCGTAAATTCAACAAGGCCATGATGGCAGTTTAGGTATACCGGAATAAGCTTACACATAACGCGTAGAATCACCGCCAATAGCCGGTTACTTTCCGCCACCGACAGCCTTTCCCGGTAAATTTCAGTCCCCCTCCCTCCATTCCGTACAGCCACCACGTCCCTGACATCCACTCACCCTCACTTACCACCCTTCCGTTTTAAATGTCACGTTCGCGCACTCTTTGCCTCACAGCCTTGCATGCCACTGCTCGGTAGCCACACTCACACGCTTCTCTCAACTACGACCAGAGAGGGACGGGCGGAGAAAAACACGAAGCTCAATGTGCGCGAAAGCAATTCTTCAAAGGAAAGCAAATGGGTGAATTCCCAGGACCTTCTGCCATTATTAGAAGTTCTTGAAGAGTGTGCAGGGCAGCGGAAGCAGAGATAAAAGTTGTTTGTATGTTTCATATACTTTACCCCTTTCCGTTCTCTGTTTATCACAGCTTTCTGAGCGTACTCTTGCGTTCTCGGGCTGTCTTCGTGCTTTCCGTCTTCGTCCTTTTTCTGTCTGCTTCACGTGACACGTCAAGGGACTCAGATTCAGATTTGACTTCACCCCCTCCCAAACTTCGAGTTGTTCACATGCCATCTAAATTTCTATCATGATCCGCGGAACACTTGGTATCTAGATCCTGTTCTTTCTACCCTGTTTCATCATCTATGCTTGATTCTTTGTATGCAATTTGTTCGCGTTCGATATGGTGTCGTCTCTGTTCTGGAACCGGTTGTTTCTCAGGTCATGTTCGCTCTTCTTGTATGTATGCATTCTTCGCTCGGGATTCTGCTGGCGAGTTACTCTCTTGCTAGTATATATCCAATGAGCGCTCAATAACTCCGTGGTTTTTGTTTTGGTGAACGGTGATAGTCTTAAGATCTGAAAAACATTGTCTGGAGGGTCTAGTTGAATTCCGACAGCATGTGCCGCTACGAGTCATTGTGACTGAAATTTGATTCTTGTTTTTGTTCGTTAGTGGAAAGGGATGTCATGTTTGCATTCCGTTGAGTTTTAGTTTATAAGAACCATCCATTCTCTGTTCTTATGCACGCGTTGCTCCCTCAGGTTTGCATATGGACATCACACTCTGTTTCACTTACTACTGCGCAAGCCCTGTTCGTTTTTATCGGTAATTATGGAATGGAGCCCTTGCTTTGTTACTGCTGAATGAAAAATTCATCAACAGTGTTGCCGCATGTCCTGATTCATCGATTCTTTCACCAAACAATATTATTACCTTAGGCAAAGGCGCGAATTAGACGACAAGATTGCTGACACACTACTGATAATGATTGGTTCTTAAATTATTGTAATCTCTGGTTAGAATTTTGATTGGAGGGTCTTTTTTTTATTGGTTTTTCACACAAACAGTTTTCTCGACTTGCGCCATTCTTTCTTCTTTATCTTGCAGAGAACATTCAAAGCAACTTTATCAAAAAAAAAAAAAAACAAAGAACATTCAAAGCATTAAGATTTTCAGGTGTAAATAAATACACCAATGCATGATTCGTTTGCCGATACCTTTAGCTTCTCGTTGTGAGGCCCCTTTCTTTCTCTGCTCTCTTTTAAGCCGTCGATGATAGAGAACAACGCATCTCAACTATCCATGCGAATATTTTTTCTCCTTTCTGCAATTTACTTTTGAGCTCGTCTTTTACAAGTTTTGCTTTCGTAAATTGTATATGAGATATCATTTATTACAAAATTTCGCCGAATATCAATACGATGTTGCTTTCATTGCTTTAAAACTGTGTGCCATTCGAACTTCTTAGCGCCTGTTCAGGTGTCTTATATTGGTTTCTTCTGCATCCTCTGGTACTTTAACAATGCATATTTAGATAGTCATTATTTTGAAAGACTTTGCATCATTTACTTCCCTGCCTGACGTTGTAACTCGATGAATGCTCAGTTGCTTGTCTCGTTCTTCTGGCCAACTAAATAAATTGCCTGTCTTTCTACTTCAACCTGCCTCTTCATTGTTTTCCCTTTTCCCATTTCTGCCATTTACTTTGGCATGACATCAATATTTTTTAGCCAATTCTTCAAATATACCTGGTTCTTTGAGCCTTTAGCTCGTCTAGAAGAACTGATGAAGGCATTCTATGCGCAGGTAGACCTGACCGGGCCCTCTATCTCCGATATAGCGGCTGATAGAGGTTCTCTCTGTAGTGTACCTTAATGGTCGTGCGAGCACCATCGTAGGAATTGGGAAGTAAGTAAACTTACACATCTCAGGAATTGAGAATTTCCTTCTGCTCTAGTGGCTTTGCGAAGATTAGTTAATGCTGTATTTTTTTCCCTTTGGTACAGCTTCTTCATTTGACTGATGGTTGAAGAGATCTGAAAGTATGAAAGAAATTGACAAAAGAAAAGCTTCAAGGAATAGTCAGGCAAAGAGTTCTAGAAGAACTGAAAGGAGAGAGAATAAAGTGCGCCAAGATAATTCATCCAAAACTGAGAATGTAAAAGAAACTGAATCAAAGATTAAGCCAACAGTAAAGAATTTTGTAAATGATTCAAACACGGTTTCAGAGGCTTCCGAAACTTATGAAAGCTTGGTTATACATTATGTAGATGATGTCAGCAGGTCTGAGGAGGCCCCTGTCGAGGTGAAAGATAATGAAACGGTTCCCAAAGAAAACAAGAACGATGTACTTCATGATCATTCTAGTGATATGGAGAAAGAGCAGAAGGAAGGTAATGAAGAGGGTTCAGATACTGAGACAGTGAAGGATTCGGTATCATCCCAAGGAGATTCTATCATGGTTGAGGATGAAAAAGTAGAAAGAATTTCAAGAGATCCTAGAACTAAGGTAAAAGTGATTTCCTCGGAAGGTAATCACAGGTCAAGGGAGAGAACTAACAGAAGGGAAAATACAGTGCAGATGAAGGTATCAAGTAATAGCAATCAGAAAAAACCTGGAAATTCAAATAGAGGGCATGCTGGAGTTACCAGCAAAAATAACTCCTTGCATAACAAGACTGCAAAATTTCCTGCAAAACCTTCGTCAGAATCTTCTGAAGGAGTTGATGAAAAACCTGTTCAAGAGATCAAGGAACTTGATGTCCTGGATGGAACCTCAAATGGTACTCACAGTTTAGCAAGCGAAGATGAAAGTGATGAAAAAGCTGAAGCCCAAGAAAATGGTGAACATGAGGAGGTGGCAGCTTTGGAATCAAGAATTGAGGAAATGGAGTTCAGAATTGAAAAACTTGAGGAGGAGCTGAGGGAAGTTGCTGCTCTTGAAATATCACTTTATTCTGTTGTCCCGGAGCATGGAAGCTCAGCACACAAGGTGCACACACCTGCTCGGCGTCTTTCCAGACTCTACATTCATGCTTGTAAGCATTGGACCCAAGACACGCGAGCTACAATTGCTAGGAATGCTGTTTCCGGCCTTGTTTTGGTTGCCAAGTCTTGTGGTAATGATGTTTCAAGGTACATGCTTTATGAAAGTTGTCATGTACCTCTATTGACTATGAACAACAAACATTGACTGTTCTGCTCTTGATGTGTTATTTAGGTTAAGTTTCTGGCTGTCAAATACCATTGCACTGAGGGAAATAATTTCACAAACATTTGGGAATTCATGTCAGTCTAGCCCCCTTAGGCGGCTGGCTGAGTCAAATGGGAAGCCTAACGCACCAAAATGGAAAGGGAACTCCAATAGTAAACACATGAATGGCCTTCTGCAGCTGGCCGAAGATTGGCAGGATACAGGAACCTTCACATCTGCATTAGAAAAAGTAGAATCTTGGGTGTTCTCTCGAATAGTGGAGTCAGTGTGGTGGCAGGTATAACTCTAGTCTCTTCTCTTTATGTTATTCTTACTGCCTGTTTAATGGGGACGGGTATGTTTTGTATTCCGGCCATCTTATAATATACCAATGGCTAAGTTATATGCGGAGATCATGGTGGAACCCTGTTCTGCCAAATTCATTTCATGTGTCATGGAAAGCCATGTAAGGTTGATCTGTGGTCTCATTATTCTCTGTAAGCTGAGAAACATCATGTATTTTCAGGCTTTGACTCCATACATGCAGCCTCCAGTCAGGAATTCCTCTGCAAATGGATCCACTTGGAGGTTGTTGGGACCTTCCTTGGGTGATCAGAAGCAAGGAAGCTTTTCCATCAATCTTTGGAGAAATGCCTTTCAAGATGCTTTTCAAGGACTTTGTCCTGTTCGAGCAGCAGGGCACGAGTGTGGTTGTTTGCCTGTACTGGCTAGAATGGTGTGTTTTCATCAGTACTTTGTTTTTATTGTTTGTTGGAAATAATTTAAATTTCCCTTTCTCTGGCTCCGAAGGTTTGTTAATCTTTATCTTTGAATTTAAATTCTTTTTCCAGGTCATGGAACAGTGCATAGGCAGACTAGATGTTGCAATGTTCAATGCTATACTGCGGGAGTCAGTCCACGAGATTCCAACTGATCCTGTATCAGACCCTATTGTGGATTCAAAGGTTCTGCCAATTCCAGCTGGAGATTTAAGCTTTGGGTCTGGTGCACAACTTAAAAATTCTGTGCGTTCCTTTTTCTTGCAACTTCTTGTTTCCATACATTATTTGAACATTGTGTTGAATCATAATGGGAAATTATGAGAAGAAACAAAATTTGGGGGGTCATAAAGATATATATAACTATTATTAATACCAGCTATGAATTTTTTCAGAAGCCATGAAGATATGAACAATACAACTCACATCAAATTGTGTTTACATGGAAAAACGAATCAAGTTTCGTATAATGTGGATTTCTTATCCCAGAATTTAAGCCTATAAGAATTCTAGTTTGACGAAGAGCTAACTGAAATGCAGGTAGGAAATTGGTCTCGATGGCTTACTGACATGTTTGGGATGGATGCTGAAACCTGTGCACCTGAAGATGAGAACTGTGAACATGACAGGCGGGGTGGAGATGGTGAACCTCAATCTTTTCCTCTCCTGAACGATTTGAGTGACCTCCTTATGCTCCCAAAAGACATGCTTATGGACAGACATGTCAGACAAGAGGTTCCTATGAACTAATTCTACTGTTCATAGAAGGACATTACCTTAGCTTTTTCTTTTGCTTGCGAGCTCACTTCCCCTCACTTCATTATATTTATGCCACACAGGTCTGTCCATCTATTAGTCTTCCATTGGTTAAACGGATACTCTGCAACTTCACTCCGGACGAGTTCTGTCCAGACCCTGTTCCTGGTGCCGTCTTAGAAGCGCTGAATGCCGAGGTATGATCTACGCTTCTTTCCTGTTTAGGCTATGTTTTTGGCGGAGGGCTGTTCATATACTATCTTTTTACTCGACAGCACTGCATATATCTTGCGCTGTGGAAGTGTTAAGACGAAGTTGTTGAATATATTATTGAATTTGGTGTTTTAGTTTATTGCGGAGAGAAGATTGTCAGGAGACTCAACCAGAAGTTTCCCATATGCTGCTGCTCCAGTTGTGTATAGCCCTCCTTCCTCAGCTAATGTGGCAGAGAAAGTTGGAGACGCAGGATGCAAGTCTCACTTGGCAAGAAATGCGTCAGCTGTTCAGCGGAGAGGCTATACGAGTGATGAGGAATTGGAGGAACTGGAATCTCCTCTTACATCCATCATTGATAAACTGCCTTCATTTCCATCAGCTCATGGACAAGACAAGCCCAATGAACTAAACACTCGCACCAGCACCAATGCTAGATACCAGCTCCTTCGTCAAGTCTGGTCCACGTGAAATGTGCAGAAAAGATATTTTGGGGGGGGGGGGGACGAAAAAGAATAGAAAGATTCTAGATGACTGAAAATCTCGAGTTATAATAATCCGACTTAAGCCGGTATATATGATCAGGTCCTGTGTAGCGTAGCGTTGAATCATTTTTACTGTTTACCAAAGAGTCTGTTATGAAAAAACAGTGCACAGAAACCTTATATAATGTTTGAGGTTACTGTTTCTTTGCTTCTTGGTTGGAATTAAAATGGGTTTGAAGAAAGATAAAAGATGAGGGGCATTATTGGTAGCTCGTGTGTTTTCTAATCTGGACTTTATATTTAAATTGAAAATATACTCATCTTTCTAATGTGTAAAATATATTAAAATTTGTGAGGAGATATTGAAGGATTAAAGATGAAATTGTACAGATGTGAAAAATTCAACAGAGCGGAGAGAATGAAAAGGATTGCATGGATGTCAGAAGGATAATCTCCTTTCTAATTAATATTTGCAACGCAGTGGTTGGATTTTTTTTTAGTGCTTGTTTTTTTTTTTTTGACCGGATTTTTAGTGCTTGTTTGGAACCATTTAATATAAGTATTTATAAGCATATTTACATAAATTAAGATATAACGTCCCTTTTGAAAATCCTATCATCATTCTAAATAAACTCTTATTCCATGCTTCAAAGTAAGATGATAGTACCATGTCAAAAAGACTACGATTTCGATAGACGTGTAATTATTTGTATAAAAAGTGTATTTTATGTTTTAAATGGGTATGCATTATCAATCCCGCCATCCATGGCCAGTTTAGGTGTCGTTCTTGCTCCTAAAATAACCGCTAGAAATACAGGTGAAGCGTAATACAAGTTGATTAGACATCACTAGGCCATAATTGAGAAAGAACACCATCATTATAGTTCTATAATGTCTCAAAGTTACCTATTGTCATGATACCTTCGATCTGGTTAATATTTAAAATCATTTCGTTTTTACTCAACATGCCTTCTTTTCTTCATGGAATCCAGGCGCAAAGTCTATTCGACCAAGTTGAATTCACAGGCTGGATTCCATATTTCAAAGAACATTTCAAAAATAAAAGAATACATACTTAATCGACGCGACTTCGAAAAGTTCTATAAAGAAAATATCTAGTTTGGAAGAAATACGCTAGATAATATGCTCAAATCCTAATTGTGCTAAAAGGAAAGAGTTGAACTCGAAAGCTTGGAAATTTATTCTTATTAAAAAAACCGCGAGATGATCATGTTTCCAACGTCATAAAAGGGGCGAAATTTGTCTTGATGCTCTGTTTTTCTAACACCCTACGCTCACTAATTGTCCTCCCCTCCCACAATCTTCTTCTGCGACCGCTTCATCGTGAATTGATGCCTGACAAACGACAATCATTGACATTCGATATCGGAAGGATTTCGTGTATATATCAGTGGTCAAAACCCTAAAACAGAACCCGATACAAAACACGAATATCGTCGTCACCTTAACATTCTGTTACCACAAATCATCATCAGATATCAAAAACAGCTTACAAAAATAAAACTGCATTTACATACAAAAGATTCAACGAAAAATCGACCCTCAGGGTTACGATTTCATATTGGAATCGAGGGTTCCTCATTCGAATCCTGAGAATTTGCAGCGATGGTTTGTGACTCAAGGAACTGAAGAGCTCGAACAACTTCTACCATCGATGGTCTTTTTTCAGGCACCACGGAAGTGCAACGAAGAGCGATTTCCAGAGCTCCAATCATTTCTCGCTGACTGGAATGTGATATTTTGGGATCAAGTACTTGATGCATCCCATCAGTGATGTTCACTCTCCTTCGAACCCACTTCACTATGTCAAGAGATTCTGTTGATATTGTTTGCTCTGCTTGCTTCCCAGTCACAAGCTCTAGCAATAAAACACCATAGCTGTATATGTCCAATTCTTCAGTTGGTTTCTTACTGTACCCATATTCTGCAATAAACAACCACCCCTTCTATAAAGTTAATATCTTTGTGATCTAAACCTTTAGTTTGCCATCCAAAACTAACCCATTTTATAAGAAATTAATAACGGCTTTAGCGTAGTAAGTTGTCATACCTGGAGCATTATAGCAGGAAGATGCTGCTTCAGAAGCAACAGTTGACTGAAATGCGGCTTCTCCCACGATTCGATCAAGAGCGAAATCTGTGAGTTTCGGCTCAAAGTTTGAATCCAGCAGAACGTTCCTGGACTTAACGTTTCTGTGAAGCAAGTGAGGAACATAGTCATTGTGAAGATAAGCTAGTGCTTGAGCGACTCTGATGGCAATCCTCAATCTTGCCTCCCACTGCAACTCAAAATCCTCACGGGAAATCAAGTCCCCTAAGCTTCCTTCTCGCAAGTACTCATAAATGAGAAAGATTGACTCATCAGAATGGCAAAACCCCAGGATTTTAACAACATTCTTATGCCTAATCTTAGCCAATGTCTTGACCTCAGCTTTCAAACTTTTTGACGTCTGGTTGCCAAAATTGACTAGCTTCTTTACGGCCACTTGTTCACCGCTAGGTAAACTCACAACATAAACTTTGCCAAAAACACCCCCATTTCCAATCAAGCTTTTCTCATCCATTCCTATAAGCAGATCTTGCTCAGTAATTCTAAGGGGATAGAAGAACACTGAGCGCCAAAATCCTATTTGATTCCTCTTGCTAAACTTCCTATACAAAATAAATCCACCAACAAACACCGCAGTTCCCACAACGAATGCTACAGAGATAAGGGCACATGCCAGCGGAGTGAGACCTCCGGAATGGTCTCTTGGAGGGTCATCAGAACAGGAAGTGGGTAATCCAGGGCCACAAAGTTCAGGGTTTCCTTCCAAAAATGAAGCAGGAAGACCAGAAATCAGGGAATAAGGTACCTTGCCAGATAGCTGATTGAAGGACACATTGAAAAGAGCAAGCTTTAAATTTTGAAGTCCTAGTGGTATTGAGCCTGTGAGATTGTTAGCTGAAAGATCAAGGTAAGTTAGCACTGGCAAGTCAGCAAGGGAAGGAGGGATTTGTCCGGTAAGACTATTGTCTGCTAGAGACAATGAAACCAGTTTCCTGCATTTGGTCAGCTCTGGGATTGGACCAGAAAGGGAATTGTGAGAGAGATTCACAATACTCATAACAGGGGAATCACAGAAGTTTACAGGAAGTTCTCCGTAGAAACGATTGAGAGACGCAGAGAATCTGTATAAGCTCTTGACCAACCCAAGACTCCGAGGAATTTTACCAGCAAAGCTGTTATTGTCAAGCTGAACTTGCTCCAACTGAACAGCTCCCGATATGGATTCAGGTATTTGTCCTGAGAATCTGTTGTTTTCAGCTCTAATGAGCTTAACTTTAGGTAATGACCATAACGAAGAAGGGAAGTCTCCAGTTAACTCGTTGTTCTGAACTTGAAATCTCTCAAGATTCTTACATTCACCAATGGTGTTGGGCATTGAACCACTGAAAATATTTGTATGGAGACTGAGATTTATGAGACCTTTTGCATTACAAACGCCATTTGGTAGTGACCCCGAAAGCTTGTTCTGTGAAACATCAAAGGACACCAGGTTCTTGAGAGAAGACACCAGACCCTGAGAAATCTCACCGGTTAGATTGTTCTGGGAGAGGTCTAAATGGGTCAAACTACGCAGGTTCGCAAAAGAATCCGGAATTTCACCGTGAAAACCAGAACTTTGCAACAGAAGTTGCCTGAGACTTCCAAGTTCGCCCATACCCTCTGGAATCTCACTTTCCAAGTATGGATTTTCAGACAAGTCAAGAACGGCAAGCTTAGTTAAATTCACGAAGATAGCAGGCACATCACCTGATAGTAGGTTACTTCCCATGTTAAGGACTTCGAGATTCTTCAGGGAGCCCAAGCTTTCTGGGATATTTCCTTCGATGTGATTTCTGCTGAAATCAAGCACTCTCAATGAACCAAACTGAGAAATCTGCATTGGGATGGTTCCCCATATGAGATTATTACTGAGATTCAAAGTCTGTAACGAACTACACTGAGAAAGATGGAGAGGGATGGGCTGGTTGAATAAATTATCAGCAAGATTGAGGTATGACAGATTTGGAAGATCACATATCGAAGACGAGAGGTCCCCAGAAAGGTTCAAGTTTTGAAGATTAATGGACGTGACAGAGAGGGAAGGAGAAGTGGAGGAGCAGGCGATTCCGGTCCAGTTACAGTAGTGAGTGGAGGAAGTATTGGACCAGCTTGACAGAGCCTTCCTAGAGTCTTCAATGGAGGCCTTGAAGGAGAGAAGGATATCCGCCTCTGATGACGAAGATGAACCAAGATTGAACGTTGTGAAGGTCACAGAGAGAAGGAACAGGTATATACAGGATGTAGCCATTAGCTAGGTGTCTGGAAGCAAGAGGGCTTGCTCTGTGTTGTCTTCAATGCTTTCCTTTGTATATATCAGTGAGTTGCGAGTGTGACGGGATTGGTATTAATGAACGTCGATGATGGACCAAGAGGAAAAGGGTTTACGTGCGATAACTCATCATAGCTAATGGGAATTTTGTCATGAAAAAATTATCCAAAAAAAAAAAACTTTTTTTCTTAAAAGAAAACTCCAACATATCATATTTCATCGTGTTTTCACCTTTTTGTAAGACAGTACAAGCATTGATGCGTGCCTGCCGAGTTCCTTCTCTGCATTTCCAGTTTGTTACCCACCAATGCTTTATTGTTTTTGGCCCTGGTTTTCACTTTAATAGTATGTTTATCGATAATTACTTTTACCAAATCTCTCCAAAAGAGAACCAAGCCAACACAGCATCAGCACAGAATCCATCCACCCATTGACCCTAGAAGAGAAGAGGATCGGGGATATGGGTTTTTCAACGCTGAAAATAGAATCCTAAGAAGATAAAAACAAAGTATGGGGTTCACTCAGGATTTGACATTCCACCACCCAAGCAGAAACCTTATTAAGGAGGGAAATAAATTCAATGTACCTCACTGCATTAAATTGAAGACGGATGATGTTTGGCATGTTGGGGAGATCCCAAAATCCATGGCTCGAAGGTCACATGGCCATTTTGTCAACTTCTGTCCCGAGATGGGGTCTTCCCCATTGACTGTCAGAAATCAGACGGTTTACATCTCCGAGGATTTCCCGTTAAGGATTAAAAATTATGAAACACATAAATTAATTAATATCTATATCCAAGACAAGAATATGTGGATTAAAAATTGAAGAGTGGGTTTCTCACTCATCAGATGCCCCATGATTTTATACTCGATGAACCCAACTTGTCGAATTCCGATACCGGTAGCTGATTAAATAATTGAATCCATACTGTTCTTATGAACAGTTTAATCAGTTAATCAGTTGAGTATAACGAGAGCTACATAAAGGGGTGACTCGAATGTCTTCCACTCCTTTTTTCTTTGCATTATAATATCCATCGGATTACATTGTTTAATGTGTGAGAATCCGGAGACACAAATCTGCCCTCTTGAAAATTATAATAATCCGAAACATATAAAAATAAACAAATGGGTGTGTTTTACCTGCTCCGTTTCTCAATTGATTCCTTTCTTTTTCTTTCCCTCTCTGAGTCTCATTCAGCAGATTAAAGAATTCTGCCCAACTAAATATCGACTGAGAACAAAAATAAAAGACAAAAATTGTAATGTACAAAAAGTAACATGCAAATAATTATGTCTTTGAAATCCATTTTTTTTATTAAAAAAACAAAAAACTGTAATGGTTCATTTGTTTAACTTTTAAGATGTGGTGATAATTTCTTCCATTTATTATCAAAATAATTGAAATGGAATTTTGCAGGACATTTATAGTATTTGCTTGAAAGAGAGCGTCTTTGTCAATAATATGCTTTCCGACTTTCAATTGCTAACAAGTTTTGTGAGCCACAGTGCTCACAACAAGCATAAAGAACCTAGAGATTTATAAAAATGCTCCTAGAAAAATTTGAATACTTTAAAAGTAAAAAGCCGTTTTCTGTTTTTTTTTTTTTTTCAAACAAGTGATGTGAAACTACATGAACTTTAAGGAATCCAAATTGAAAAGCTGTATGGAGATTGTAAACGAAGGGGTGGAAAGGAGTGAAAAAAGCGAGGTTAGCGTCTCGTGAGCAAGTTTGATAAACGACAATCGCATTACCTGCCAAAACTCCACCTCGCTCGTGCCTATGCCCAAGACTTTTTGGGAACTTGCACATATCACTAAGAATAATACTAAAATACAATCGCTTTTTATTATGATACTTAATTATTAAAACAATTAATAATAACAATAACAATATTAGTGATATCTGCTTCATTTATTAGTCATGAGCACCAAATGTCAATGGCTTTGGTCACAAGCGAAGGCCTCTGATATGTATTCAGGATCGGCATCGGCATAGCAACAACAGTAATAATGGAAATTTGGAAATGTCCCTTGCACATACAATACAACCACGGACTCGTACATTATTATTATTCATTGTGCTTATGGACCACATTTTATTTATTTTTATTTATTTTTTTCCGTTTCATCTCCATACGGTAATAATACTTCCAGGTGAAATTAATGTCCAGATTATCACCCCAAAAAAAAAAAACAGGGGAAGGGAATGAATAAGTAAACAGGGTTTAGCTTTCTCTGGCAAAAGAGGATATGGCACCTAAAAAAGTTCTTGGAACGCATCAAAGTGAACCCAGGTTTTAGTTTGGTCCTGAAAAGTGCAGCTACATTAAAATTATAACCTTTTTGAAAGGATTTCTATCAACTTCAACTGTACAACGTCACGAGGCTCGTCTCCCTTTTTCATTTTCAGAACTTTCCCATCCGAACACGTACCTCAGAAACAACGCCTTTAATTTTTTTTCCCTGTATGAGTTTCCAGGAATAATTGCTGTAGATGAGAGGGGTTGTTGAATGTGATTATGGGAGGATTTTCTACAAAGTTGACTTTATTTACGTACCGTTTGACCTTTAGCTGTAAAGATGTAAAAAGATGTGAAGGACCACAATTATTATTACTGGCACTGGAAAAATGGGTGAAAATGAAAAAAAAAAAAATCTAAAAGACCTGCAGCATCTGAAATCTTTTAGATTCTTCTGGGAGAGAACAGTGACTGAGCGCTCTGAAGCACCCCAAAACCGGAACGAATGAATGAACTAGAGAGAAGGTGAAACGACTTAAGCATGATTAACATTAATTAACATTAAGTGGTTATATACGTTTATCAACCATTAGTTGGGTTTGGTGCCCATTTAATCAACATCCTTGACTTTGCTTTGAAACGTACTCGTCACGAAGGAATGAGGAGTAATTAATTAGATGGATAAGATATGCCATGTTGCTGCATAATCACTGCTAAATCGTGAGCCATAATCAGTCAGGAGAGGACCATCAAGAAAGTCAGATCCGTGTTTATTTAATCTTGTAAATAAATAAATATGTTTAAAGTAGTAATGAAGAGTGAGGAGAGCAGAAGAATAAGTAGAAAAAAGTACTGGGAGGAAAAAGAATATATCGGTTAGCTGTATGCAATGAGACAAAGCTTTATGGCTCATCGATCATGGCGGTCAAAGGCATCAAGCGATGCGTGCGCTTTGGAGAATCATGATTTTCAATGCCACCGACTGATAAAGGCGTCTCTATCACTTAGATTATGCTTTTATCTCCCTTTTTTTTCAATTAAGATGTTCCATTAAGTATTAACCTACCTATAGTTAGTTTTGGCTCTTCCTCAATAGTGCTCAATGCTGGTAAATACAGTTCCTCTAAGAGTTAAGAGAGGCATGGAAATTTTAAGGAGAAAAATCTGCACAGATGCTGTTAAAGATAAGGGGGTATATTTCCCGAGTGATTAAATTTTAGGAAAAAAACAGAGTGGACATGATGCGGTTTTGGCACATTTCACACTGGCCATTGGGGAAATCTGAACAAAGGCATATTCCAATACTTTCGAGAGTCAACTTTACAATGAGCAAAAAGGTCAAATTTTGGAGCATCCAAGAGGAAAAGAGATGCCAAGGACAGCATCAAGAGTTATTTTATTCGTGTCACGAAGAAGATAATTTATAAAAGCAGTAGTAGCATTTTCAATACGTTGTGAATTGTGATTCAGATTTGGGGGAGTAGAAACAAAGAGGGCATGGGTGTCTGTGCTGCTCTCTTTGTTAGCAAAAAATATTCGCCAAGACCCAAAATCACAGATGGGATATGAGAACCCACGTAATGAGGGCGACATCTTTTTGTCTTTTAATACAGAAACGGGACACAAGATCGTGGGTGTGAGCAAAGGGCAAGCTTATTGTCAAACGCCACTTATTACTCCGAAGAAAGACATGAGGACTAGGGTCCATAATAATGATACTAATAATAATACTTATTCCTATAGCTCGGCTTCATCAATTTTGGTTATGCCAACACGTTTGCTGGGGACGGGGGAGGGGTGGGGTCGTTTCGTTTCAGCTTCATGTTGCTATACTGGCCCCTATTTATATAAGTTGTGAAGTGCGTTACATTGCACAATGCACACATCCAACCTTCGAATTTGTAGAGTAAAACGGAGAAGAAAATCAACCCCAGCTTCTTTTTCTGCCTTGCCTTTCCACCTTTCTCCTCTTTTGTCCGAATACGATGGCCATGGTTGCTTAGTTACATGAAACAGCTTACCAACCGAGTCAGTCAAACTCACGAGATTAAAACTCCATAGCCAAATAGGGAAAAAGGGCAGGGCCAAGGACTACAACTTTCAGTAGGATTAGGATGCAAATAAGCAGACCGAAACAATTAGATTTAGCCCTTTCAAACTCATCCTCCAGTTGTCGTCGAAGGAGCGTAGCTGAGAATATCGGGATAGGACGCAAATTCGTATCCCCACGCAGCAACGTCTGTACGTATCGGAGCCATTAATGGACATATTTTAAGAATAGAACCGCTTATGCAGCCATCAATCACAATTTTATTTTGGCAAGAATCCCATCGTATTTTTAGCCAAGAAAAGAAGCCATAGCTGCACACACCTGTCTGAAAGCATGAGTTTGACGACCAAGGCTCCAGAAGAACAGAACATCTCCCACGAAACTTACCCGTGATCAGTGTGGGCAAAATTCGGGTAAATGAATTTAATAAGGATGCGATTCTCTAATCAAGAAATGAGAGATGCAGTTGCTCAGGTCAAGAAACGGCTAAAATCACATGTCTGTCCACCGGAAGCAAGACGTCTAAGATGTTTAGATATCTTTAACAGTGTTTTTTAAAAATATTTTTTTTATATAAATCAAGACGAATTCCTTTACATATTTATTTCGTATAACATACAATCACTTCTAAAATCATGATTTGATTTCATCCAAACACTTTTTTAATGCATAACAACTTCGATAAAAAAAGCTCAATAAGAACACATCCAACTGTGTGCGCCACAGCATTCCGTTCCGTCCTCTTGTTAACAAAAAAAACGGATAATGACGGCCCAACGGCGGTGCGAATGCTACAGAAAAGAAAACTCGATTAAATATATCGCCAAATGCCAGTAGCAACTTCAACGCAACTGCTCGGAGACAAACAGATCCTTAATGTTCCGATATTCCCCAATGACAAATTGAACACTTTGAAACAACGTTATATCAAATAACCACAACCAAAAACAATCAAAACAATAGCCAACAGGTATTCAAATCATGGCAATGAACCATGACAATCACGTTATTGTTTGTTACTTTCTAGTCACACGTCACACGATGATATCAGCCCCTCTGGCATCGTTTGTTAAATCTTATCTCTACACAAGATCCAACTTTTTAGATCTCTGACTCTGTACCTAGATATCTCTCAGACTTTTCAAATCTCAATACTTGAGAATTTTAGGATTTCGCGCATTAAACACTTACACATAGCTTCGGTCTTAAATCCATTACAAGATAACCCAAAATAGAAAAAGCAGGCCATAGGCGCCCTCTCTCAGCCACGTTTAACTTAAAACACTGCCCCAACTTTTGGAAGGCCAGCAGTATTAGATCCACGATAGTGTTAGAAGGCCAAAACTATCAAATGAAACAAAAGCATCCTCCCCAACAGCCAACTGAATTGATTTTGTATCTGAACTCATAACCTCAACATATATCAAACACAGGGACAATAGTTATGAGTGAAGAGAAGCATCCTCTACCGATGAAGAAATAACACTCTAAACAAAATCAATGTGCACATAGATTCAACTATGCAACATGCAATCAGATAAACTAAGACACATTATTAAATATATTTCTTTAAAAAATACCTAAGGCTCATATGAGGTGGACTAAAGACAAATATACCTTGCTACGACAGAGTCCAACCCACAGCCTCCAACTTTGGAAGAACACATAAGAGCGCATAATAGGGTAAATAAGTATTATTTAAACAGCCTCAAACTTCAAAACACACACATAGATAAGTAATAAATAGCATTCATGCACCAAAATAATGCAAGCCAAACAAGGAAATCCATTTACAGAATGACCCATCGGTGTCCTTCAACTAGCACAAACATTCAAGCAACAGCTAGCTAGCAAGTGAATCTTTGCCAATCAACCCATAACACGGATATTCCCCAGTGAGGTCCTTGTTGCCGTGACATTGATCATTAAAATCACTAGAGGACGCCTGAAAAAGTCAAGAAGCCAACATATATGAAGACATGTTGATAAAAAGGGAAGCATCAAGCTATATCCATTTGACTTCAGTTTAGTGCATGCCTAGATTTTGTCAAGCTTTTCTGCCTTAACTACAGGGTTGGCTTTGGCTATAGCATCCTGACCAACGGTCCGATAATCAAAAGGGCAATTGTGTTTGTCAGAATAGCGATGTGTTGGACAGAAAATGTTCCCACATTTGCAGCTAAAACCAGTTAATCCAACACGCTTCCGGCAAGTTGTACATCTGCTGGGACCAGCCTTGACTTTCATCTCTAAACTCTCACTAGAGGATGAATCCTGACAAATTTCTGCATGTATTGTCTTGACCTCCATAGTTCCGATTTGTACATCAGTAGAACATGCAGTTGCAGCCTCTTTCCCACTGCCGCTGCTAGAGCTGCCATTCACAATGTTTTCAACTGATGATGCAGCTAGTTTGGCCTGATCCTGCTTCAGCAGCATATCCTTGTAACATTTGGAGCACATATTCATGGTAGCAGCTCTGCCAAAGAAGCCACAATTGTTAATACAAAGAATGGTGCGATCTGGTGCCTGGCATCCTGTCTGATCGTGAGACTCCATTAATTTTTTTTTTTTACCACCTGCAAGTAAAGCACCTCACCATCTTTTAAGAAGATATACAAAAGCAAAAGAAAGATATTCCCTCACAATATGCAGTAAGTAAGAACTATGCCTCACAACAAGGGTTACATTAACACAGCAAAATAAACTTGTACGCAACGGATAGCAGCATAAAGCGAACATAAATATCCCCACAAAAACTACAACTAAATGCGTTATCACCCTCAAACGCGGACGTGTAGCCCCAGCCACCCTCCAAATTCTTTCCCTTCGCTTAATGCTGATCGTTGGCCCAAAACAAAATTCGATTATAAGAATTACAGTACTGTAAAATTACACACAGACGCATACGCTAAAGAACTCAATAAACAAGCAGTATTTGCTCAAAATTGAAACACGCAAACAAAACTTATCAATCAAGATAAGCAAGCCTCTGTCGAAGAGTTACATAAGCGAAGTATACAACCAGGTTGGCAGAAATTTCCGACCGAATAAGGGAAGTGAGAAAACCCATCGACAACTTCGTTTTCTGTCGTTATAGGGTATACCCGAGAACCAAAATGCCATAAAATTGACCCCAGCCAAAAACCAGAATTAAGAAACCCGAAATACCAACTCATCCAAAATGATTAAACTGGGAAAGAGGGGGCTTCCACCAGTAGGCCAATCGATCAGTAGACAAAAATTAATTAAATTACCAAACAGTAGAGAGCAGTAAATCAGAAAAGGGAAAAATCAATGGAAACATGACACTCCCACCAGTCTACTAGGGTTCCACGATTCACACAATCAGACAAGGTAATCAAGTCTCCAGATATTAGCAGATGAATAAGAAGATAAATTTGATAAAACGCCACAAAATAAAAGATCAAATACCTATAAAGGGGAATGAAAATAGTTATGGAAATCGAACACCAGACACCAGAACCACGCCAAACGCAGCAGCAGAGGCAGAGGCAGAGGCAACGGAGCGATAAAAAGAGAAAAACGTAGAAGGGTCGGCACTCCCTGTTTTGAATCGACTCTTATCTGCCAGTTGCGTAGTCGGTGATTATTGATAAAACGCCCTTCTAATTGCTCTTAATTACTGGTTTGCCGCCTTTTTCTCTTTTCTTTTTACCTTTCTTTTAATATTCACCCAGTTCAAATATACTCTTTTTGTCTTATTTATAGAATGGGAAAAAGATTTTGTTTTGTCATATTTATAACTTATTTTATTAAATTTTCAGTGTGAATATACTATTTTATTCTTTATTTGTTATGATATAATTAGCTATCTTTTTTAAAATATGTGTATATTAAATATGGGCAAAATTAAAAAAATTGTTATATTTTAATAGAATAGTTAATGTATTTTAAGGTTTTTTGTCTATATAAACTATTTTGAAAATACTTTATAAATAGGACTAGAAGAGTAAATAATATTTTTTTCCAACTGTTAAATATAAATGACAAGTGTTTACATCTCGGTACGTACAAAATTCCAGGGCCAAAAAAAATTAATTCCAGCTCAAAAAAATCAAGGGTAAGAAAAAAAAAATCATCAATTCCATTAAATCATAAAACATGCATCTGGCTGTTTTAAAATTATTAATTAAAATACTGCTCCTGATCAAAATTCTCTCCATATCTTCGGTGACTCATCAAAGTCAAAAAATTATGTTGCACACGCCACCCTTCTATTTTTCAGGTTTTTTTTTTCCCTATCCAACCATTATTTTTATCGCAAGAAATTACCCGTTAAAAATTTAAAAATCACATAAGCGCCTGCCTTGCCCCAAAAAAAAAAAGTACTTATATTTTCAAACTTTTTATATGATATTATAAATTGATTAATTTTACTAACATATTTATTTAGTAAACAAAGTATTTTATATGTAGAGTTAATTCAATAAATGACAGCACGTAAATCTGAAGTGTCTTGGAGTGAGAATGTTGATTCTCGAATATTTGTGTTTTAATGCGATTTCACAATAAATTAATTTACGAAAAAAAATTAAAAAATTGCATGTTCCGGGATTGGGTAGGATAATGAAGTTTTAAAATAATTAAATTTGAGCAGATTGATGCATTCTGGAGATCTTACTTGATATGCAAGGTTTAAATGAAATGAAGAACGGAATGTGAGACAATAAGTAATCTGTAGATTAAGTTACAAAAACAATATCATCCTAATAAAAATAAATAAGCTACTTACAGCGTGGAAGTCAGGAGACATGAAAATCCATGATGCAACTTGTTTTCTTAAAAAGCACACAATACGATAAAAGGGGTGTCTGGGATCATGTTTGGACCCCCAAACGTACATCTTAAATAGGCAGAGTTTTATCATGTTTGGACCTAGGTTTTCTCAATCTGGCTTCTGAGGCTGAAATGGGCTTCTGGAAGAAGCAATCTGAAAGAGTTTTTTTTGGATGATGAGGGGCGGTGAATAAAATACTGTTAGAAAATTTATGTGGGGTTTAAAATTTTTTACTCACATGACCCTGATCCTGTATGAATTTTTCCTCACCTCACTTAAAACAAAAACACGAAACCATGGCTCAAGGGTACCTATCTCAAAGAAGGAGTCGCTGAAACCAAAATCCCCCTCCTTTCGTGCTTCTCCTATGTCACTCTAGGCTTATCCTTCCCCGGACCTCAAATCCCAGAGATTTCCTTTTCTCACGAATCAAATGGTCACATTATATGTATAATTTTTTTATAACAATAAATTAAATTTCCTTATTTTTAATAATTTATTTTCATTACTTCTTTTAAATAGTCACATTATATATATAATTTTTTTCTAATAATAAATTAAATTTCTTTACTTTTAATAATTTTATTTTCCTTACTTCTTAAAAAATAATCACATTATATATATTTAATATTGGATATATACTATTTAATAAAATTCATGTCCTTTTAAGTTATTTTGCATCTAACATCCAAACAAGTTCAGCTTCACTGACTTTTTTTCAAAATCTAATCCAAAATAAGTCACATTACCTATCTGACTTTTACTCAATCTGACTTCTGTAAAAGTCAGATTGAAAAAAAGTCACTTCTGCCACCGCTATCCCAAACACATCCAAAGTCTATTTAAAGAGCGGCCGTGGAGTATATACGCCGAATAGTTTATGTGGAGGCATGTATGATCATTGCGTCTTGCTGCAACATTCAACTTTCCACGCCTCCTCTTCTTCCTAATTCTCCTGTATTTAGTTCATTGTATTCTGCTTTTAGCCATGCATGGCTAATTTTTTAAGATTTTTTGGGATTAGCTTTGAACTCATCAAAGAACCAGTGCCGGCAATATTGAAGCCAAGTGTGTGATTTCTGTAGTCTGGCCAACTGCGATGAACATATGTTTGAGTGTTCTGATAAGAGTCTGGATCAAGAGAAGTGGGATAGACGGGGTGACTTGAAGCATTGCGGGGTATTACTCGTTGAGAGTATTGGTGAGTTTTTCCAGAACAGAACAATAATGCAGAAGAAATGGCTCTGAGCAGTCAGCCAGCATACCCGACACCCATGTTCTGTTTGGTGGTTTTATAATATAATACGAGAAGGGTAAAGTAAAATGCAGGGTGAATGAAGGCAGGCATAAATAGAAGAGTGACGTGTGAAGCAAGGATTGAGGATTTGACTCTGAAAAGAATGATTTGCTTGATTGCATAGATGTAAGTGGGGAGTATGATGGGTGAAGCTTTTCTTTCCTGAGAAGGCTTTCAATTTGATGGCAGAAGCAACCTCAGCTCGGTTCAATGATATTGGTTGGGAGAGCTTAAACCAACATCGTTCTGTGTGATGTTTGCTTCTGCGAATCCTTTCTTCACTCCAGTAACTTTATGAGACTGTTAGGGTTAGTGACACAGCCGCAAACTAGTTCTTAATTAACTCCATCCATGTATTCAAGTCAAAACTTACGGAGCCAGCTGAAATTGATTTTAAAGAAAAAGTCGTTCCGTGCTTTTCTTTGTAAACTGTGAAAGTAAAAAGATCATTTTTAGTAACTCTGTTAGATTTTTTTTTAGGGGGAAGTGGCGTGCTTATGAAAAAGGCGGCCCATTTAGAGTTGGGATTAGAATGCGCAATTACTCATGAGCTTCCTTAATTAACAACTCGGCCTGTTAGACAGCGCCACATTGGGCAGCCATTGGTTTAGGCCTTCAAAAATCTATCTGGGCTCACTTAAGGTTCATATGCCCAGATACTAATCGTCCTCCAGTTCAATTTAAGAAGTACAGAAGAATTGGTTACTCGAAGTGGCGAGTGCTTTGATTTCTCTGCTTGGGTGGATCACCAACTTCTGAAATTCCCATCTGTACACACAATTTAATATAGGGTCACTTAAAGAGTCGTTGTGTTCAATAACGTCGATGATTTTTTTTTTTTTTGGGGAACGCAAACACTCATCAATCAGTTATATGTTCAATAACAGTCGAAGAGATAATTATTTTTTTTCCTTGGAATGCGTAAGCTAAAAAGTCATTTGTCAAATATGCTGCAATGGACAAGGGTGACCGGAAAATAGTATAAACAGAACCTGAGAAGAAAATAGTTGGTGAGTGCCACTTTAACCAGGGAGGATCACCCGTTAATACTATTTTACTTATTCCCTGTGAAACAAAATATGGACAATAAAGCGTTATAACCTGGGGTATAATTATACGATTTAATTTAATTTAACTATCAAACAACATATTAATGATGTACGTTGCAGAATTTCTCATCCGTACCTATACCGTGACTTTACATAGAAAATATAATCAGGGGGTTCTTGAGAAGGTTGGTTGAACAGAAAGAATTAGGTCCAGATTTGACACCACGACTACCAATCAACAGGTAATCTGGCTCATCAAACATAATGCAAATAATGATAGCATCACTTACTCCTAAACAAACCGATCAGCTGCAAAACCACTCAATTTTGGAAACATAATTACGACATGTTTGTTGACCATTATTGCATTAGCAAAATCATCCTCCATTTTATATCCCCCTCAAAATTTGAAGTCAGCGAAAGATTTTCAGATCAACTATCCATACGATAAAAAAATTAAAAAAAAAAAAAAAATAGAAATGCCTTCCGCCGGAGAAGGCAAAAGTTTGAGATGTTAAACCATTATCACTGCACTGGACCCACGCTGGTGGGTGGCCTCACAAGAAAAACTCAGGACCAAATAACTTTATGAACAGTATTAGGATTGGGTCGTTCCAATTTTGGATGATTTTATTTAAGGTGCAGGGACCATGACATCTCAACTTCGTGGAAGGAACATCCCTCTTGCGAGCGAAGATCTCCCATGAATCTGTAAATGCAAGCAAGGATATGGATTTGCCTTTTTCTTTAGTTTTCCACACCTGTCACACTTCCTGTTTCTCTCTCACTTTACTTCCCCATTTTCTTTTCTTTTTAGGTGGGAGCTATGATGCGCTCGAACTTAAATTAAAAAAATAGCAAAAGTATTATAAATGTGACAATATGAATATGACATTGGGCTTTACTATAATTGAGTGACTTTGTTGTCTTTCCACCTGTCTCTCTCTGTCTTCCCCTCTTGGTTCTTTTTGGGGTAAGTCATCAAGCTTTCATTTTTTTTTTCTCGGCAGCGCAATATTCTGCTTTTGCCTAGTCAAGCCTTGCCTCTCTCTCCTCAGAAGGTTGTTTAGGATCATAACTACGGAATTTAGCTTTACTCGCATTTATGCCCCTTCTGCATGTGAAACCCTTTAATAGGTGCAGGAACCTATTCAGGAGTGTCCGAACTCGTTCTCATGCGATAGTTGCTTTCCCTAATTAATGCTCTTCAATCGACCGGTTGCCTTAATTAGCCCGTCTGGATTGAACACAGAGCTAGAGGACAAGGTTGGTGAGCCTTCGCCACAGAATTGTTGCTCTGCTGCGTCAATTGGATTTGCAGCAATTAGGATCTGCAGCTTCACCGTCTGTCTGCCCGCTTTTGGAGCTTTCCATGGAGACCGATAATGGTGACACCAGGTCCAAGATGGAAGACTATGAAGTGATTGAGCAAATTGGCAGAGGGGCATTCGGCTCCGCTTACCTTGTTCTCCATAACTCTGAGAATAAGAAGTAAGACACTCTTCCCACAAATTCTATCCTCATGGTTGCTACTTTGTAAATGGTAAACCATGCATACAATGGGTCGGAGTTCCTTTTTCTTTTTGTGGTAAAAAAATGTATGCCTTAACAATGGAAATTCGAAGATTATTTTTTTTAAAGCTCTGTGTGTTTAATTACACCTGCTCGATAAATAGAATTCTCTGTAAGCTGCAATTTTTACTTCAAATGCTGTTCATTTTCGGTAGGTATGTGTTGAAGAAGATTCGCTTGACCAAGCAAACCGAGAAATTCAAGCGAACAGCGCACCAAGAGGTTGGTGTAACACCCTTCCAACCGATACATTCATCTTTAGTGTACACTATACAACCTTTGAATTTATGCTGTTTTAATATATTTCCTTGTGTCTTGCATGAGAGAAAAAAAAAAAAAACTGTCGTTCACATCCGTTAGCTACCACCTTTGGGTCATATTAGTGGCATAAATGAGCCACACTTTTCAGTAATATTCAATTTTTCTGAATACATTTTTTCTTCTATGACTCTACGAACATGCCTTTGCTGACTGACAATGCTATCTTCATTCTAGAAGGAAGTCGTCTGCATATGTTGTGTATCTCGCAAGCAGTATCCCTTCTGCCCTGCTAGTTATACAAAAAACATGATATTAGCCAATGCTGTTTCAGTTTAATTTGATTTGATGCAATCTTGAAGACGTATGTCACATATCATTGCCTTTTAGAGTAACGATACTGATCAGACTTCCAGAGAAGAGAGATTTGTCTAGTGCAGTTTCTTATGCGTGCACAACCGTGGCACTTTTTTTTTGGCCAAGGTGGCAATGCTTAATAATATGGCATTTTGTGTCAAGTAGACAAGTATGACTCAAAGCAAGGTTTTAATAACTTTAAAACAGATTTCTTTAGAATGATTTCTCAGACTTTGTCTTAAGACAGTCTGAAGCCATTTTTTAATGTTATTCTTACCTGCTTACATGCATTGGTTATTCTATCTCTGTCACAGATGAACCTGATTGCAAAACTAAATAACCCATATATGTGGAGTACAAAGATGCTTGGGTAGAGAAGGTAAATACACAATCTTTCTTTTGTATTAACAGTTGACTAAATAGGTCTGGAATTTTAAAGTTGCACGCCTGATCGTTCTGATGGTTACGAGCTTATGACTCTTTAATGGCCTCTTTCTGAGATTCTCATGTTTTGCAGGGGGAGTATATATGCATTGTAACTGGCTATTGTGAAGGAGGTGACATGAAGTAATATCTGTCGTCACCCCGGGGGGGGGGGAACTGTTGGTAAACTGAAGCTTTCTGGCTTGAAATAAGATTATTAATGTATCGTTTACAATCATAGAGCATGTCTATCCAATAAATTTTGTTCCTTTATGACAGTACTATTATATTCTCTCCCCTAATAAATGTAAGGAAAAAGGAAGATTTTATTAGAAATTAACAAGTAAATTTTGACCTGAAAGCTTAAGCCATTGGGTTCCTTAAGTGAAAGCCTACGAGACCTGAAATATGCACAAAAGATTAATATTATTCTTGTACTGAAAAAACATGGAATTTCAGGCTGAAATTTCAATTTTTAGACAGATGGCAACAAGGATTCAGAAAAAAGGCAGAAAAGAAAGTCAGAAACTTTTAGTTGTGG